TCCTCTTCAGTGAGCTAGCTAAGGAAACAAGATGAAGAGGCCAACCAAAAAAAAAGAGATGAAAAGATTATGTAGAAGAACAAAAGATCTGTGGCTTTGATCATAACTGATACAATGACACTGCAGAAAAAGAAATGGTGCTACAAAGTGTGACAAGGCATCTTTCTGAGGATCGGCTAATCCAGAGGCACGTAGTTAAATGCCTGAAAATAGAGCTGGTCAGTTACTGACTCACCTGGGTTAAAGATACGAATCCTCACTCAAGAGGTATAAATTAGTCCAGATCCTCCACGCTCTGGCAGACAAAGTCCAAGAGTTGGTGAAATCACCAATACAAAACAGCAGCATCACTAAAAAGGCAGCACTCAGGTGATTCAGGTCCCTGTACCGAGTTTACAACCTACTGAAAATGCTGTGGACTGAAGTGAGCTGTGCATAGATGTTAACACGTTTCAGAACTTCCCGTACCATGACCCAAGGAGGGCGCTCCGCCCCGTCAACAGAACCAAGAGCCCAAAAGACCATCACCACAACAACTTAGCATAGGTTCATTTTCAGCCATCCCAAGAAGGCAATGACAGAATACTGTGAATTTATATCACTTAAAATCCAGTCCCGAAAAGATACCTGAACTTCAAGACGAATTAGATCCAATAAACATTCATTTTCACAGAGAAGGTAAATCAGTTTTCTGTTTTTTTTTTTGTTTCTTTGAAATGGTATTAAAAATTCAAGTTCCCTTCTGGCAAAATCCAAAATGCTTTCAGCTCATTTTCTAAAATAACTGGGCAACTTCTGTATAACTCTAATTAAGTGATTAAGAAGTAATAAAGAGCCCAAATGAAAAAGCTCATTATAAAATTATGTCTAAACACCTCCAATATTAACTCACCTCACCGTTTCTAAAGTTTCAGCAACTTAATTAAAGCTGTATAATTAAGTTTTATAAACCCTTACCTATAAAATGTTGCTATTAATAAAACATTTTGACCTACATTGATAAGGTTTTGAGTCATATCTTTACACTGTGCTTCCAAGAAGACTTTTTTTTTTTTGTAAATTTTTAAAGTGATCTTGTTTAAGAGCCCTTCAAGCTTTTTGAAGGGTTTTTCTTTAAACTGTAGCTGCATTTTGTGCTCACTTTTAGTTCAGTATCTGATCATTTCAGTGAAATGTTTTGTTTGTCAAACCTGTTAACTCTGACCTATGAGTCATTCAGGAATAAAATGGATCAACCAGTGATATGAATGATGAACAACTTGGCAGAGAAACACAAAGGGGATCTTTAGGCTCTTGGTTAACAGCAGCCTGTCACAAAAAAAAAAACATTTCTTTAGCTGAATCTATGAAAAATACCTAAGATAAAACAGTTTGACAGACAGAAAACAGTTAAACCACTTTGAAAAACTGAGAAACCAAGTGTTTGTTACAACTTTTAAGCCGCCATTTTTTTTCCCCATTAATCACAACTAAAAATGATGGGATTACTAAACGCAGAAGTTTTTGTTTTTATACATTTAACCTCCTGTTTTGAAAGAGAAACTGGTCATTTTTAACAGTTAACTATTAAATTAGCTCACCTGTCGCGAGGCTGCGAACTTCATTAGCATTAGCTAAAAAAAAGAAAAAAAATTTCATTAGCATTAGCTAATTCATTAGCATTTTGCTCCGGTTGTTCTTGAAACTTCTGTTTCATGTCTGTAAAAAAAAATATTAATTTGTCAAGTACCGTGTCAGAAATCAAAAAGACGCATGGAAACAGACGTTAAGAAATTTAAAAAGTACAGGTAACTTCAAAGGACTTTTGTCTACTCAGAACCGTCAAGTACAATTTTCCGGAAACAGTTACCAAGCTAGCCGGAAGTGAGCCGCTCTTAATTGTAGGATACCAAAGTAAAAGCTTTAAAGCTTTTAAATAAAAAAGGGGGTTGAATTTCCGAAATAACAGATGAAGATGACTAAAACGTAAAGGCACAAAATAAATATTTGGTATTCATTTACAGACAGAGTTCCAAAATGAACTATTTTTAAAATTACTTTATTTAAAGTTATCTGAAAAAGCTTAGCTTTACATAAAAATAAAAATGAATCCAAAAAGAAATTGAACAAAAGGAAAAACATCTTTGGCAATTGCTAAATCGAATACACTGAACATAAAGATACATTTTATGTCAAGTGAAATGTAAATATTTACTTCTTGTTTATTCTGCTTGCATTTTAACCAGCTTAACTTTATGTTTAGTTTACTTGAGGGCATTTATTTATCACTTTGAATGTTCAGCCATAAGTTCAGCTGTTTGCAAGAACACCAAAGCCCTAATTAAAAGGAAATTAAACTACATAATATAGTTTTGCCAAACTCCCACACACATTGTCTGCCGATAAAACTGCATCCCCCCACCCTCAATTCTAATTTACTATGGTCTCAGACAGCTGCAGGGTTTGCTGGTTTCATAACTTAATTAAGCAAATCTTCCATTTTTCCACTGAGGTAATGAGCGTAGTTTTACAGGGATTAAACAATCTCCAAAGTTGAAAATTAGGCTTTATGCTTTTGATATCTTATCTGTCTTGATCCTACAAAGTAACTTTCCATCCACAGGATTAATAGAGCTAGATTTTAGGCGTTTATTAATCCCTCTCTTTTTAATTTGCATAGCATTAAAACTAAAAGTTGGATTCAGTGTTGGGAAATATAAGAACAAGTCTCTTTATCAGACAAAAAAATTAAAGAGCAAACAATTTCTTCTAAGAATGGATGAAAAGGTAAACATTACCTTTTCCTTTTTTTCACTTATTTGAATTTTAAAGCTGTGTATGTGATAAAAAGTACAGTATATACTGTACAGAGTTATTTTTGAACCCAGCTTTTCAGATATTGAATCATTTGAAATCAATCAGGACTTGTTAGTAAATGATTTGTGACAATTGGGTTATTTAAGCGGTTTCAGGAATTTACATCAGAAATACAAATATACACACACATATGTACATATATAAATAAACTTTCCTGCTGTTACGCCTCTATAAAAAAGATCAGTTTTCAGGGGGGTTTGGAGTCAGTTGGCACCTCTTGTGATATATGCATGACAAAACCAGACAAGTAATTACACTTTCATACTATTTTAATGAATTATGAAAACTAATAAGGTCTTTGTAGATAATTAGGATGCATATGTGCCAGATTTGTCCAGACTGCTGATTACTACCTCCAGCAAGATATGACTGAAGTAAAAGGGCAAATAATTTGAGTGGAAAGCTCAGATTTTTTTAAACAAAAATCCCCCCCCACACACACACACACACACACACTCTGTGAAGGTCGTAATTGGTTGATAAACAGATGAAGAGAATGTGTAACATCTTTCTGTTCGGTTTCAAATAACCTTCTTTAGTTATGCAGTATTGTGACATGTCACGCTTAAAGTATGCGTTTGGGGATGCCTCTCAGCTACCACATCAAATTTTATCTCAATATGTGTAAATCCACTGAGTTACAACCATTAATATTTTTTGAATTGGGCTTAATCAAATTAGATCAGAATAAAAGTTCTACTAAAACGTGTCCAGTGGTTCAAGATACAGTATTCTAATAACGATGCTAAAACTTTATTGTCCGCTTTTATGATTTCATATCAGAAGTTCATGCTACTTTTAACAAAACACAAATGAATGATCATAGTTGGCAGCATGGTGGATCAGTGGTTAGCACCTTTGCCTCACAGCAAAAAGGTGATCTCAAACCCAGTGTTGAGCATGGTCTTTCTGTGGAGTTGGATTTTCTTCAGGGTTTTTCCAAGTTCAAAAACATGCATGTTTAGGCTGCCCTCAGACTCCCTTAAACACATCAACACTTTCAACTGGATTTGTCTGGTTAAATAAATGTTATGAAAATAAAGTAATAAATACCACTTGTCTATATTTCTTTAAAAGAAGAAATAGACACTGGCTCCCCAGAAATTTGATTAAATCTTTGACACTTCTGTAATTGATTCACTTCAGTGTGTGAAACGAACCAAAACGTAGAAGCCGTCGTCCTTTAATTAATTACGTGTCACATTTAAAGGCTGACGGGGAAAATCTAGTTTTTATTACCTGTTTTACCACAAGACAAACATCAGATGCATGAAGGAAACTAATTCACTGTGGTGGAAAGTCAGCCGTCTTAAAAGCTGTTATTGTTCAAACTCCAATTTTACTTCTGTGAACAATCATTGTGCTGAAGTGCAGACTTCCAGTTGTGTTTCACAGAAGTTCTGGGTAAACACTAAAGCCCGTTTTATTATTCTACATACTTCCAATACATTTTTCTTGCTTTTCTGCAAAATTGGAGCTTCTTAGCATTTGCTGTAGTATTTTAAGATTTGTGGCACCACAACAATCCAAACAAGGTTGAAGTCGTTCCCCTGAACAAACAATCAAAGCGTTTTTAATTAACAAGGAGGAAGTTGTTTCTCAGAAGACGCCTCGCAGTTCAAACACGACGACGATAACTGGGTTAATATCTACACGGAACGTCAGCGCTTCATAAGCCACGAGCAGAAAAATGAAAAACAAAAGGTGTTTAAATGGCTCAGCATTTACAGACTGAACTAAATTGTTCTTTTTAAAGACCCATTTCATCATCCCAATTAGGGCCTTTTCAACATAAACCGGGACCGTAAAGCTGCAGCGTCATTCTCAGAGTAGGAAAAAGGACGAGGATTAGTCTGAACCTGCTCCAGTCAGGCAGGTGGTGGAGGAGCCTGAATCTGAAAAGGAAATCCTGCTGGGAAAACCTCCATAAGAGCATGTTAGTCACAGCGAGAGTGCATCCTGATGCAGACAGGACCAGGTAAGCACCTCCCCATCAGCAAAGCAACATGTGAGGAAAAATGTTTCAAAAACTGACATCCCTTCTCCTTCAGGCAAACAAAATTCTCCAAAAAGTTTTAAGAAGGATCAGGGACAATGTCTGGAAATGGAAGACAAAAACCACGAGGAAACTAAACCTGGCCTTGCTTTAATGTTGCATAATTAAGTTTTGTAAAGAGTTCAAGGTTGGAGCAGCAAATTTGAATGAATGGAAAATGAAAAAACAAAATCAGTCACAAAATGTCTCACTGCCGACTGACACCAGCCAGTAAAGCATTAGACTGTATTTATGGGTTTTGAACACAGTACTTTCTAGCAAAAAGTACACTTTAACACAAAATTTACATGTATTTTACAAGTTCTTCAGAAGGGGACTTTACAGAGGTGATGTCAGGAGAACAATAGTTTTTCCAGAGGAGAGCTTTCTACAGGTTTGATGTAAAGATGATATCAGAAGCTGTAGGTGTCCTCAGGTAACTCTCCCAGCAGCTCGTCCAGGTTATCATCTGCAGAACAGACGGGACAAAACACGACAGTTTCAGATAGGTGTGCCTTTGTCTGTACTGTTAACAAACTCCATTTAAAACTCCAGGAATGTTAGGACTTTATTATTATTAAGACTAGAGCCTGACCAATATATCAGCGAGAGACGATATTTTAGGCCGATATAGGCGTTTGGGGACATATCGGTATCGGTGATAATTGTCTCATGTGCGCCAATATAAGAAATTTTAATTTTCACCCATAAAATGCTGGGAAACTAGCGTAATTGCACAATATATCCAGCAGAGGGCACGTGAAGACTACCTTCAAGTCATGGGCTTAAGTTTCACTTTCATGTTCAGCACAGATGAAGCAGAGAGCAATACTGTGTAGCATATTTTACTGAAGTTTGCCAAGTTTATAGTAAATGATCTGTAAAAAAAATAAAAATAAATCAATAATAAATTCTATTCAATCTTGCAACCTGCTTGTCATTAGCTATTTGCTTATCAAGTTAGCAAGCTAACGTTTTGATAACCTAGCATAGGCTATTGCCTTGTAAAACGTTATCCAGAACAATAAATCTAACGTAGAGGTACATATATATATCAGTTAGTAGCGTTATCTTTGTCATCCTCAATGAAATGCATTGTTTGTCTGAAATCTTTATCTCGCTGCAAAGAAAAAATAAAAATGCAGCTGTCGATGCTAATTAGACCATCATCATACGTGACCGACTAAAAAATAAACAGGAGGGGAGTTTCTTTGTTTGTAGTTTTCCAACACACTTGATAACTTTATGGTGAATAGTGGAGGATAGAAAATGTGAACGCACATTAGGAAGATTGTTTTTATGACCAGTCACTTGTAAACCTACTGGACTGCGTATAGTGTGGATCTGATTTGATTAGCTTCATGGTTGCTAACAGCTGCACTAAATAAACAAGCCCCGCTCCACTCGCATTTTTTAATTTGATTCTTGGGGCTGGACAAAGCTAAAAAAATTCAGCCATTATAGCGGTTATTGGCGGTTGCCTTCTCCCAATATCGATATCAGCGATAGCCAAAATTTCCATAGCGGTAGAGCTTTAATTAAGACTTTATTTTTTATTAAAATTATTAGGACAGAAGCAGCTGGAGTTAAACCACCAATCATCAAGGACATACACTGACGCCAACATGTCCTTCGTTTTTATCCAAATGCTTGTTTTTCATAAAAAATGTTAAAGTTGGTGATTTTCATGAACATGAGTTTATTGTTGAATTCCTAAAACTCATTGGTCCTCGATGATGTGCTGCTTGTGTCGGATAAGTTCTGTTTAGAACCATATGTGGTGACAGCTGACAGATGTGGGCCTGCAGGAGTTTGCTGTGGGGCAACAGGTGGCTGACAATGAAAGGACACACTTTGCACACCTGGATATCTAGAAAACTGTTATTTGTTGTGTGTTAATCAAGTGTTTGGTGCAGTTCACTAAGATGAACGTTCAGAGGTGCGTTTACCTGCTGTAAAAGGAAATAGTCAACACATACAAGAGGTTCTGCTCTTTACATTATTTTTCTTATTGTTGTCCTTGCTGCATTTTATTAACATTTATCACTTCTAATTTGTGTATTGTTTATCCATTCTGGCAGTAAATTTGCTGTTATTTTTGTCCTTCAGTCAGAGAATTCATTACTGAAATGCACTGCCAGTCTCTGCCGTCCAGTCTCTGCCGTCCAGTCTCTGCCGTCCAGTCTCTGCCGTCCGGTTCTGTGAATTATGTGCATCTTGCGTTTTTGCATTTCTCCGGATCAGAAGCCTCGACTATCTGTCAGGATTCAAAGCTTCAGGATCCGCCCCGTTTACTCAGCAAAGACGAGTTTTAAGGTAATCTGCATTTCAAGATGCGACTGGAACCGTTTTTGTCGAACCATGAGTTTTCACATGAGCTGGGTCTGACCTGCATCCCAGTCTGGGTCCTGTGGAGCTGGATTCTCGGCGCTCTTCGGGGGGGCTCTGCTGGAGCGAACCGATTTGTTTTCCTCTGTGTGTGTTTGCTCCTGAGGGACTCCAGCTCGTTCCGTGCGTCCTCTTCCTTTATCCCCCTCCTCATCCTCTTCATCAAACTCCAGCTGCATCGCAGACACGGGCCCCTGGAGGACGCTGGGCTCCCTAGCAGGTGATGACATCATCGGCTCCTGAAGACGGACAGAAAGGGGGTTAAGAGCTCCTGACATCCATTAAAGACCACTTTAGGATTAGACGTCATGTTTGCTCTCACCAGGAGAAGAGGAGGGAGCGGCGTGGACAACAAGCCGACTCCATCAGGAGCGTAGATCCTCAGAAGGTTGTTGGGCGTCACGTTCAGGTAGTGGTTACGATGGGAAGGAGAAAACACTCCCACCTGCTCAAAGAGGAAAGATCACCAGATTCATAACCGTAAAGCTGTTTATTCAGTTCAAGCACAAAAAAACACAACGCAACCATCACTGCTGTTCGTTTGTGACGGCGTCACCTGTTTGAGCAGCAGCACGGCTCCAACCTTCAGCTCGTCGGCTCTCTCCTCCAAGAGACGCCGATGCACAGTCCCCTGAATCTCCCCTTCAGCCCAAAGAAGAAAGAACAGAATTATTCCAAAGGACGACCGGTTCCTTTGATTCAGTTGTGCAGCTGGATGGCCGAGGTCATCAGTGTCAGCCTGTGAGCTGTGAGAGCAGATGAGTTTATAAAAACAATTCTCGCACGATGCCCGTGGCAGATTCTCGTAACTGGGCTCCATGCACCTAGAACTTCTGTACGTCTGTGTAACCTGTTGTGAAAGTCTGCCCTCGCAAGTAAAACCAGTTCAAAATCTTCTCGTGTCCTCGAGTGTGGCTTCTTTGAATAAGAAGAATAGAGGATATTTTTATCCAATAAAAAACTGCAGGTCAGTTGACAAAAAATTAATTAAAATAAGACATTAAATGGTTTGATCCTTTTCAAGCTCGTTTAAAAAAACGTTTTTTGTTCTGTGTGAAACTGAACGCTGTAGGACAAACGTACAAGTTTTGTAAATTTACTGAAATATTTCACTTTTTACATCATTTCCAGGTATCCTACAAAATTAAATCAGGTCCTCTGGACGGTTTCTTTTTGTTGAAATGTTTCGTCTCCATGAGTCCGAGGAGCCTCAACAAACTCAGTCTTATAAACGGCACCTTCACATAGTGGGTCAACCAGTTTGATGGTGCTCGGATGGTTTGTGGAGTCCACCCTCTCCCCCGCCGCCTGCTCAAACTCAAACTTGTTTTAGGCAATCATGGCCAGAGAGGTTCAAATCATCCTGATTCGTGCTCAATAATCCAGGTACAAATCCAACAATGTTCAGTCTGGTCATCTGGACTACTTTTTTTTTTTTTTTTTGCTGAGACATTTCGTCCTTCATCCAAAGGACTTCTTCAGTCCAAGAAGCCACAAACAAGTCTTTTTGTTTTTTACCATTTTGGCATGGCTGCCTTAGAGGAGTTGACGGGGGAGAGGGCAGGCGGGCGCCAGAAAACATTTTCTCACCAGCAAACTGGTTTTATCCACTATGGGAGTTGGTGCTTGTGGGACTCGTTTGTTTGTGGCTCCTCAGACTGAATAAGTCCTTTGGATGAAGGGCGAAATGTCTCAGCAAAAAAAAAAAAAAAAAAAAGAAAGAAACCGTCCAGATGATTTGACTGAACTTTGTCGTTTTTGTTGAAACGTTTCGTCTTTTGACCTTGATTATTATTATTATTACCTGGATTATTATTAATATTACCTTGATTATTATTATTATTACCTGGATTATTATTAATATTACCTTGATTATTATTATTATTACCTGGATTATTGAGCATGAATCAGGAAATCTTTTTCAGGAGTCGTATTTATGAGCTCTCCATCTCAATCGTTCACAGAAACGTCACTCAGAAGCCAAAGTCTCCACAGGATACAGGTTAAACTGGCTTATTTAAAACTTCAGTAAAAAAATCAAGTTAAAAAAAAAAAAAAAAAACACTTTTCATGTCATTTCTAGTCTTGAAGGCAGAAACGCTTCAGCGTGACGTGAGTCAGTGTGTTTGAAGCTTCGCTGTAAATAAGTCTAAACAAGAGAACTCGGAGTCGAGCTGAACGTTCAGACCTTTGGCAGCAGATTTTCCACTGGAGGTTTGCTTTAATAGATGAACCCGCCTGGGATGTGGCGGGGGGACATGATCCTTGGGATGCAATTAGTTTTCTTTACAGCACATTAGGACCAACAGCTGAGGGTTTGTTTCCAAGTTGATAACGGCTTCATGCATGTTATCTGGACGGAGGAGACGTCGGCGGCACACGCCTGCCCTGAAAGCTCCGGCTTCGTTCACACGTCGCCTCGCTACAATCCTGAGATTTCACCCGGGGGAGGGTGCAGGTGGGAGGAAATACCATGTAAAAATTTCATGTATTAAAAACAAAAACTGCACCACCACATATGGAGTGACGACTGCGTGCTGTACAGTAAAGTTTTGGAAAAATTACAATCTTTTACTTTTTAAAGTAAAATAAAAACCTCTTAAGATTAATTCTAATCAAGTTCCTGGTGGAATATTTTAAATAATATTAAAAAACAAAATAAATAAAATACATTTGGTAGCAGCTGCTTTGGAAGCTTTTTCTGTTAATTTGTAATATGAACAATAGAAATTATGCAGCTTTAACTCTCTGAAATAACTTTTTTAAATATTCATCAAGCCTACAGAGGGTACAACAGAGCGTTGGATTAAAAAAACAGCAACGAAACATTACATGTGAAGCACACAAAATAATCTCCGAGCAGTAGGAGTGAGAAAATGTAAGGGATCTTCTGGGAGAAAGAAAAAGCTGCCAGCCCTCCTGTAGGCGGGAGGCTCATTACTGAGAGAACAGTCACTCTTGGTGTCAGAAGCACTTAATACCCGCCCACCACGAACGCCAATCCACCACACCTGAATCACTGACGGGCGATTAAATGGACGCTGAACAACATCCACTCGTGCTGATGATCAGAACGCCACACGAGGCCGAACCGGCTCAGCTCCAGGAGGATCAGAGGAAAGGGAGAAAGTTTAAGCTGGAGAAGCAGAGGAGACGAGTGGACCGTGTGTGTGCGTGCGTGCGTGCGTGCGTGCGTGCGTGCGTGCGTGCGTGTGTGCGTGTGTGTAGAGGCTGAACTTTCCTGTCCATACACCGTAGGCTGAAGTGAGGTCTCAAAGCGAGCAGCTCACCACTCCTCCACCAGCTCAGACTTCCCTCCCACAGTTTGACTCCAGTCTGAGCTTCACCCGACTCACAGTCGCATCATAATTTGCAGCAAACATGAACACTCGACCCGTTTACAACAGAACCTCCAATTACAAATTTAATCCATCCGAGTGAGTTGTATGTTGGAAATTAGTATCCTGAACAAAGATTTCCTTCAACAAATAATGGAAATAAAATAAAAATTATTTTTGTTTCAATTCTGGGCAGCACAGTGGCGCAGTTGGTAGAGCTGCCACCTCCCAGCTCGCTGGTTCAAATCCCAGCCAGAAAGAAAGATGTAAAGAAAGATGTAAAGAAAGGAAGATGTAAGGAAAGAAAGATGTAAAGAAAAAAAGATGTAAAGAAACAAAGATGTAAAGAAACAAAGATGTAAAGAAAGATGTAAAGAAAGGAAGATGTAAAGAAAGGAAGATGTAAAGAAAGGAAGATGTAAAGAAAAAAGATGTAAGGAAGAAAATATGTAAAGAAACAAAGATGTAAAGAAACAAAGATGTAAAGAAAGATGTAAAGAAACAAAGATGTAAAGAAAGGAAGATGTAAAGAAAGGAAGATGTAAAGAAAAAAAGATGTAAGGAAGAAAAGATGTAAAGAAAAAAAGATGTAAAGAAACAAAGATGTAAAGAAACAAAGATGTAAAGAAAGATGTAAAGAAAGATGTAAAGAAAGAAAGATGTAAAGAAAGGAAGATGTAAAGAAAGGAAGATGTAAAGAAAGATGTAAAGAAAGATGTAAAGAAAGGAAGATGTAAAGAAACAAAGATGTAAAGAAACAAAGATGTAAAGAAACAAAGATGTAAAGAAACAAAGATGTAAAGAAAGGAAGATGTAAGGAAAGAAAGGTGTAAAGAAAGGAAGATGTAAGGAAAGAAAGATGTAAGGAAAGAAAGATGTAAAGAAAGAAAGATGTAAAGAAA